GCGTCGCGGTTTCGCGTCTGGGGGTGCTTGGCTCTTGTCCGCGACACCTCCGCGGACAAGCTCTCGCCTCGTGCCGTCCCCTGTTTCTTCCTTGGTTTTCCTGAGGACTCCTCTGACTTCACCTTTTACCACCCTCCCTCTCACCGGTTCTTTGACTCCCGTGACGTCAGTTTCGAGGAGTCCACACCGTACTACGTCAGGTACCCCAGTCGAGGTCTCCCGGTTCCTCCTCCCCCCCTCTTCCTGACTGCAGCCCCCCCTCCTGCTCCCCCGGTACAGCCTCCCCCCCCTGGTCCAGCCCCGTCAGGTGTGTCACAGGCTACCCCTCCTCCTTCGGTAGCCCCTCCGGTACAGCCTCCCTCCCCACAGTCCTCCTCGCAGCGTGCAGCTGGTGCTAGCTCTCGAGAGGTTGGTGCTGCGCCTGTTCCTGTACCGGTTTCTGGTTCTGGGGGTGCTGGAGTTGGAGCTGGAGTTGGTGCTGGAGCTGGCACTGGAGTTTCTGGTTCTGGGGGTGCTGGAGTTGGAGCTGGAGTTTCTGGTTCTGGAGTTGGAGCTGTCCCGGTGGGTGCAGAGGACTCTTGTCGTCCGGGAGCTGGTGCTGGTCGCGCGGCCACTGGGGGTGCTGCGTCTGGGGGTGAGGGTGCGCCTCCTTCGGGTTCAGGTGAGCCTGGGTCTGGAGCTGGTGTTAGTGCTGCCTTTGGGGCTGGTGCGCCTGGTTCTTCGGGGGTGGACTCTGGAGCTACCGCTGCTTCGGACACTACTCCGCCCCCCCACCCCTACCCGACTAGGCACCAGGCTCGTGTTCGCCGTGCCCGTGACGAGCAGCTGGCGTTGGAGAGAGAGGAGAGGGAGTTACAGCGGCTGGAGGAGCAGCAGCAACAGCTGGAGCCGCAGGAGCAGCAGCAGCAGCAGCAGCAGCAGCTGGACCCGCAGGAGCAGCAGTCCCAGCAGCAGCCGCTTCTGCAGCAGCAGCAGTCGCAGCAGCAGCAGCAGCAGCAGCCACTTCCTCCTCCTGTCTCGGGTCTTCGGACCCTTGGTCTCCCCTCCCCTTCTCCTCCCTCCTCCGCCTCTCCTCCTGTCTACGGTCCCACGTTTCCTCCTCCTGACTCCTCCCCCGCTGTTTTCCCCAGTTCTCCGCCTTTGTCCTCTCCTCCTCCGTCTCGTTCTTGGGCTACTCGTCGCTCCCCTCGTGCTCGTCCCTCGTCTCCTGTTCCCTTCACTGACCTTCGTACTGCCTTACTTTGTTCCAGTCCACCTCGTCCGTCTCAGTCTGTGCTTCCGTCTCCTCCTGAGTCGGCCCTCACCGTGTCGCTCCCTGCTCCTGTCACTGACTACTACCGCACGTACCGTCCTGTTCTCTCTCGTGTTCTCGCCTCTCTTGTTACTCACCCTCGTGCCTCTGTGTCCTCTGTGTCTGCTCTTACTGCCGCGGTTACTGACTTTGCCGCTACCCGCCGCCTTGACTACACCACCACGCTTGTGGCTGCTCCTCCTACCAGTCCTCTAGCCGTCGGGGGTGTGTCTGCCCTTGGCTGTGACGCCCTAGAGGACAGGCAGTTTGAGCTAGAGTTCCTGGCGGCCACTTCCCCTCATCTCTGTGCCATGCTCCTCGCCCCTGAGGGTGACCCCGACGCCCTTGACATTCCGACTCCTCGCACTTACGCTGAGGCAGTGTCAGGGCCTTGGGCCTCTCAGTGGAGAGCTGCCATGGACGCAGAGATGGCCTCCTACAGATCCACAGGCACCTACGTCGATGAGGTTCCCCCCCCTGGGGCGAACGTAGTCGACGGCATGTGGATCTACAGGGTGAAGCGGCCACCAGGATCTCCCCCGGTCTTCAAGGCGCGCTACGTGGCTAGAGGTTTCAGTCAGCGCGAGGGAGTTGACTTCTTTCAGACCTTCGCACCTACCCCGAAGATGACCACTCTTCGGGTGTTACTACACGTAGCAGCACAGAGAGACTACGAGTTACACTCTCTCGACTTCTCCACTGCTTTCCTTCAGGGCAGCCTACACGAGGAGGTCTGGTTGCGTCGTCCCTCGGCCTTCACTGGCACTTTCCCTCCTGGGACTCAGTGGAGGCTGAGGCGACCTGTTTACGGTCTTCGCCAGGCCCCTCGTGAGTGGCACGGCACTCTGCGTTCTACCCTCTCTGACCTTGGGTTCCAGCCGTCTTCTGCCGACCCGTCGCTGTTCGTTCGTCGTGGCTCCACACCGTTCTTTGTTCTGGTCTACGTCGACGACCTCGTTTTCGCCACTCCGGACAGGGTTGCTTTGGCAGACGTGAAGTCCGAACTGCAGAAGAGACACACGTGCACTGATCTTGGTGAGCTGCGCCACTACCTTGGCCTGCAGATCACCAGGGACAGAGCCGCTCGCACCATTACACTCTCACAGTCACACATGGTGCAGCAGGTCCTTCAGCGGTTCGGGCTTCAGCACTCTTCCGTACAGCGCACACCTCTCGCTGTTGACCACAGACTCACTGGTCCCTTTCCTGACGAGCCGTTTGAGCCTAGTGGTCCCTACGCAGAGCTTGTGGGTTGCCTCATGTACCTGATGACTTGTACTCGCCCGGACCTCGCCTTCCCTCTCAGCATCCTTGCGCGCTTTGTTGCGCCAGGGAGACACCGTCCTGTTCACTGGACGGCAGCTGTGAGGGTGGCGAAGTACCTAGCGACTACATCAGGCGTGGGGCTAGTTCTTGGAGGGCAGCAGTCTGTCGTACTCACTGGTCACTGTGACTCCTCTTACGCTGACGACGCTGAGACTCACAGGTCTACTCAGGGGTACTGTTTTAGTCTGGGTTCTGGAGCTGTTTCCTGGCGTTCCACGCGCTCCTCTTCTGTCTCGACCTCTACAGCTGAGGCTGAGATTTACGCTGGTGCCATGGCGGCACAGGAGTTGCGGTGGTTGACCTTCTTGCTCGCCGACCTTGGTGAGCGGCCGAGCTCTGCACCGACCTTGTTTACTGACAACAAGGCGTCGATCCTCCTCTGTCGTGAGCCGCGACTGGAGAGCAGAGTGAAGCACATTCACGTCATGTACTTTCTTCTGCGAGAGTTGCAGAGACGTGGACAGGCTCGCTTCGAGTTTGTGGAGTCCGAGGCCAACACTGCAGACATCTTCACCAAGGCGCTTCCGCCTTGTGACCACCAGAGGTGTTGTGTGCAGTTAGGCCTTGTTGACACAGGTTCTAGTCATGTGTAGACTTGAGTTTATTGCCTGCTTCGTCTGTACACTTGCTATATATACTTGTGATCTCTTGGACTGGCCTTGTGGCCACTGTTGCTTGTGCTCAGAGTGTGTGGTGACGTTGTGATCCACCCTGAGCTTTGTTTTCTTTTGGACTGGTCTTGTGACCGTACTCTTTTTGATTTTGCTAGACACCCCTCACTTAGGCTATGGGGGTGTGTCAAATGTTGTAGCCTGTAGTGAGGTTTGTCTTAGGGGGTACAGAAGTTAGGGTTTGTTATATGTACCCCAACCAACATCAATGGAACATCCATTCCTCATTCTGACAGTACCGTAGTAACTTCATACGGTATTGATCCCAACGTTTGGGAGTTTCCACCAACATTAGAGAAAGGACACATGCCAAAGCAGGCCAGCATGTGCAACACACAGTACGGTAAGTTGAATTTCCGGCATGGTGGCACCTGTTGGAAATATATTTGTGTGTTATTTATCTTGCAGTGCACTGTTCAAAGTGCAGAAGCGAAGCCCTCAATATCGGGGGTGATGACTCGAGTATCGAACTGCAGGGGCGCAACCGCGTACAGTGGTTGCGACCCGCGTGGCAGCCGAAGGGTCGAATTGAGCAAGAGGCAGCGTCTACAGTACGCGAAACCACCCTGGAGGCGCGGCAGAATACCGCGCCCTTGCCGAAGCTGAAAGGTCTCGCCAGTAACTGGGCAACTGAAACGTTACAGCGCAACTGTAATACAGTTGCGCCTTGGTAACTGCCTCCCTGCTATGTTTCCTATATAACTCAATGTACTGCCATGCTATCATTACACAATTCTCAAGCTTGTGTCCGGCCTACCCTCGGCCGCCGCTTTGGCGCCAAGTTACAAGCCAGGAGAGCTACCTCTGAGTGACCATAGCCCCGCCGCTGGGACGTCGTTATTTCCTAGAGTATTTCCGCTACTCTAGCGACCTCCTAATTTCAACATGGTATCACGAGCAAGCGTTCAAACACTTGGACCTGTGGGAGCAGCTTCATTCAGTTTGGCTCACCACCTTTATCATCACCAGGAGCATCTCCTGGAGCAGGTCAGAACCTGCCACTACCCACGGAGAATTTCGTGGAGGAAATCTTCAACGCGCCGTCGCATAATTTTGGGCGACTTGGCAAGACGCATTTCAAGGCGTACCGGTGAAGTCCCTGACGAGGACTTCAGAATTTCAACATGGAGAATTTCATCTCTCTTGGATTCTACACTTCTAACAGTGGAGGGGAGTGTTGGAAATATATTTGTGTGTTATTTATCTTGCAGTGCACTGTTCAAAGTGCAGAAGCGAAGCCCTCAATATCGGGGGTGATGACTCGAGTATCGAACTGCAGGGGCGCAACCGCGTACAGTGGTTGCGACCCGCGTGGCAGCCGAAGGGTCGAATTGAGCAAGAGGCAGCGTCTACAGTACGCGAAACCACCCTGGAGGCGCGGCAGAATACCGCGCCCTTGCCGAAGCTGAAAGGTCTCGCCAGTAACTGGGCAACTGAAACGTTACAGCGCAACTGTAATACAGTTGCGCCTTGGTAACTGCCTCCCTGCTATGTTTCCTATATAACTCAATGTACTGCCATGCTATCATTACACAATTCTCAAGCTTGTGTCCGGCCTACCCTCGGCCGCCGCTTTGGCGCCAAGTTACAAGCCAGGAGAGCTACCTCTGAGTGACCATAGCCCCGCCGCTGGGACGTCGTTATTTCCTAGAGTATTTCCGCTACTCTAGCGACCTCCTAATTTCAACAGCACCGAAAGTCTGGCGTTATTCATGGTACGCAGCATCTCCGGCTTCTCTCAATTCCACCATACACCCAGCATCGTATGGGCTGTCTATGGGTTGTCAAGTTGTCAACATCCAAGCGAAAAATTACACAACACATCCCGAGCTAGCTATTTCTCATACCGGTTATCACTTGTAGCGATCTCGAGTTCACTTTCGCAAACACAAGCAAATGTAACGAACAGGAGCAGCAAGGTACAACAATCTCCACACCCCTACCTGAAACTCCGCCAATTCCCATCACCCCCACTCCTCCCTCCTCCCCTCTCCTTTCCCCAAGCCCCTCTTCCCCCCATCTTACTCCCCCTTCCCCTCCCCCTCCATTTTGCTGTCTCTCTGTTCCCACATCCCCTACAGCACCCCCCTCACCTCCATCTGTCTCCATCCCAGGTCTCCCACTACAGGCCATCGATCCTTTACTCCCAAAAGCCACTCCCTCGAGACCAAGAGCCTCAACCACCTCCTGTGATTCCAAGGCAAATACATCCCCACACCGACACTCGACCACAAACACACCTCTCCTGTAAGTCTGCTTGCCTCCTCCCTCCTCTCCTGATCGCCCCTTCCAACTGTCACGCTTCCTTGCATCATACCCCTCCTCCTCCTCCATCTCCTCTTCTGCTCCTCCTTTTCCTTCTTCTTCTTGCTCTTCCTCCTCCCATGTCATGTCGTCAATGCTTATCCCATCAGCACACGACGTTGCACCACCACAGCTAGCTCCTCCTGCTGCTTCTCGGGCGACTGATGCTACCCCTCCTCCTGCTCTCCCTCCTCCTTCGGCCCCGTCTACTGCTGTGGGTTCTGCTGCCAACTCACCATTCTCCCTCTGCCCTCCCTCCACCCCACCTTGCCTCACCCCATCGTGCCTATCCCCTTCTTGTAAGTGACAATCATTTGCAGAGTTGGGACTGTAGCCACCATTGGTGGAGTTGTAGCAGGCAGCACTGTAGCTGCGGCTGTAGCAGCCCTGCTGCACCAGAGCCAGTGCCGCCGCCCGTTTGTCTGACTCTGCACCAGAGTCGTTACAAGGAAATATTGGTACACAAAGAGATTAATTTAAGCATCGAGAAGAGTCCCTTTGAGACCAGATTAAAGAGGTCAGGCTCATAGGAGAGGCAGGGCAGGTTTTAGCACACGATTATGAGCCAAAGACGCGTCTCGCAGCGCTCCCGAACCCTAGCCGTGGGAAATTTCGAATTCAATCACGAGTCCGTCGTTTGTTTTATGACCTTAAGTGGACACCTGAACCCTAAACTTGAGAACACCTGGCGGTTAAGGAACACACCAAGGAGCATGCGATCGTAATCGGCGCGAGCGGACGAATCGCGCAGAGTACTCCACGCCGCGTGCACGCGCTGAAACCGTTGCTCCTGACCGTTAGAAATGCTGTCGCCGTTAGTGTCTTCTCCGTTTTCCTGCACCCGTCGTTCCAGTTCTTCGTGAATTCGTTCGCCTTCCCGCTGCCGTTGCACCTGCTGTTTCTGATTCTGCTGCTGTTGCTGCTGCTGCTTGTCTGGGTGCAACAGCAGCGCAGCTTCTTGGAAACTACGACGGATCTCCTCTACACTAGCGCTCCGGGCTACACATAGCGCATCGTAGTGAGTCTCACCCAATCCATATGACTTCGCTGCTCGTCCTCTACTTGAGAACGATGAGGACGCCATTCGCGCGCGATAGGTTTGAAAAAATGTATATCTGGGGGAATGCTAGGGCCCTTGCCGAAAGTACATATGATTGCAATGCGAGGGTTCAAGTTAGCGCGGGAACCTGAAAACTTCGAATCAAACCCGAAACCCTGGGCTTGGTTTGGGTGTGATCAGAGGTTTCAGGTTCGCGCGCAAACTTTTGTGGGGGGAAGGAACGATTGAGTTCGGTTGAGAGAGCTGGAGTCGGGTTTCCAAATTCTGCCTTGAGGTTGTCCCCTCGCCTTTACAACACGGCCTGACGGACAATTGGGAATTTAGCTTGAAGGAATTTTACACACAGAAAGTGCTGAAGCTGCACGGTCCAGACTGACAGGGTCCTGACGAGGTTTGCCGCTGCGTTGACGGCGTTGACGGCGTTGACGGCTTTGACGGCGCTGACATGTATTGAATGATCTCGCGATGGACATAGGATTTCGGCTTAGCCGCCTGCCGGCTGTTTCAGCCAGCCGGCTGACCGTTGTTTTGACCGCTGGCCGGTTTGGCGCGCTTCGTTTCAGAACATTGCCTGTCGCGCCGTCTTTCGCGGCGGATCGGCTAGTTTGCACATCAACGCCGTTTGGGGAATCTATGAAATCTCTTGCGATTCTAAATCGCAGAAGTGGAATAATGGCGAATATGGCGACCTTGGAGGCGAATTCCCGCAGCGCTTGGCGCCAGGCGAAGTATCGTGTAGTCTGTAACACGCGAAATGGGGTTACCATTCGGGTAACCACCGGCTCTGCGACAAGCAGCAGGAGCAGCAGTACCAGCAGCAGGAAGGGGAATGCTGACAAGGCAGAGAAGAGGGAGACGGGGGAGGCGGCGGAAGGAGAGCAGGAGCTTGGCGGGGAAAATCGGCCGCTTAGGCTGGTGGTGATTGGGGGAGGGGCGGCGGGCGTGTTTGGCGCGATTCGAGCCAAGGAGATGGCGCCTGGTTTGGAGGTCAGAGTGGTGGAGAAGAGTCAGCCTCTGGGGAAGGTGAGAGGGAAGGGCGGAGAGGAGAGGGGAAGAGGGGAAGGGTAGAGGGGAGCGGGAGGGAGGGGGGGAATGGGGGAGGGGGAGTGGAAAGGGGGAGGGGCCTGGGGCGGAGCTGGGAGGTTGGATGGGAGTGGTTGGTGGGATTCGAGCCGAGGAGATGGTGCCTGGCTTGGAGGTCCGGGTAGTGGAGAAGAGTCAACCGCTGGGGAATGTTAAAGTGAAGGGGGAGGGGAAGGAGGAGAGGGGAAGATGAGGAGAAATTAAGCACCACACAGCACAGTACTGCACCGCACCACGATCTGTACTGCGCCCTGCCAACACAGCACAGCCCAGCACCGCACTGCACCGCACTCCGTACCGCACCATGACTCATGCCGTATCATACCCCAACCCACCTGCCTCCTCTCATGCATCAGGTGCGCATATCAGGAGGCGGGCGCTGCAATGTCACCACAGGGCTTGCAGCCGACCCCATAGTAGGTGCAATGTGCTCCCCATGTGATCAGACATTCCAGCGAGCTGCAGTTTCCAAGGAGAAGGTTTAGCAAAGGAGAAAAACCTTCTCCTTAGAAACTGCAGCTCGCTGGAATGTCTGATCACAGGGCTTGCAGCCGATCCCATAGTAGGTGCAATGTGCTCTCCATGTGATCCGTAACGTGTACCATCCTATGGCTCTCCATGTAACGTGTAACATGTGATGTGCAGCATGTAGTGTTTCATTCTGTCTCCACACCTCGCCCCTTCTCGCGAGTCACGTCACACGCACCTTATAAATTACACGCCAATCATCGGCAACAGTAGCTGCTCAAGATGTTTCTAAGTTGACTCATAAAAACCAGACATCCTGTCAACACCCAACCGCTCCCCCCCTCTCAGCACCTATATTAGCATCACGAGACCTACCCAGCAGGCCTTTTGGAGCGACCCTAAACCCGAAACCCTAAAGCTCTCTTCGTCTCTATTATCAACCCCAACCCTCTCTCTCTCTCTCCTCCTCCCTCCCAGCACCTCTCCTCCCACTACCCACGGGGCCATCGCGAGCTCAAAGGTTCCTTCTTCCGCACGCGCGGCCCGGCTGACACCGTCTAAGTGCTCACGGCCTGACCGACCGACACCCCACTACAGTGCGTCACTCCCTCACTTCTGCTCTCCCCTGCTCAACTTCTCCGCCCCCATCCCCACCGCCCAGCACCTCTCCTCCCACTACCCAAGGGGTCATCGGGAGCTCAAAGGCTCCTTCTTCCGCACGCACGGTCCAGCAGACACGGTTGAGTGGTTCACCCAACGGGGGGTGCCCCTCAAGGTATGCTCTCATATGTCTGTGCCTCCACGCCTTGTCCTGATACTGCATGGCGCATGGCCTGTTCTTGTGAACGCACGGCCCGGCAGACACAGTCGAGTGGTTCACCCAACGAGGGGTGCCCCTCAAGGTATGCGTGCATATGCCTGTGCTGCACTTTGTCTGTGCTTCTAGGGATGCTGCTGCTCCCAGGGTCACTGCCTGCTCCCTGTCTGCTCTATTTACAGTCCCTCCCATCCCCATGACAGACTGGCCCAGACGGGCGCATGTTTCCCGTGTCAGGCTCCTCCCAGTCAGTTATTGACTGCTGGATTTTTTTGAGAATTCTCAAAAAGACTGCTGGTTCTGGTCTCGCTCAGTCACTCGCCCACCCACCCACCCCATGCCACTGCCCTCCTTCCCTCAACCCCCCATGGGCCATGGTAGACTGGCCCAGACGGGCGCATGTTCCCCCCGGTGTCAGACTCCTCCCAGTCAGTTATTGTTTGCCTGCAGTTACCTATCCCTCACACCTTCTTTTCCGCACACTCCCTTCAATTTCTCCACCCCCCTCGCCCCCCCACACCCCATGGCAGACGGACCCAGACGGGCGCATGTTCCCCGTGTCAGGCTCCTCCAGTCAGTTATTGACTGCCTGCTCTGCGCCTACCTGCGCCGTGTTATTGACTCCACCCACTCCCGTCACTCCCGCTTCTCCCCATTCTCAATCAACCCCACCCTGCTCTTTCCCTGCCAGACAGAACCAGACGGGCGCATGTTTCCCGTCTCAGACTCCTCCCAATCAGTTATCGACTGCCTGCTCTCACAAGCCCAGCAGCTCTCAGGTACACTCTCAGGTGCTCTCAGGTGCATTCTCAGGTGCTCTCAGGGACATTCTCAGGTGAATTGTCATGTGGATGTCCACGCTGCAGGGGTACTAGCCTCTCACCCTTTGGTCTCCAACTACCTCTTTTCTATCCTTTCATTCTGCCCTCTCCCATTTCTCCTCGCACCCACCCTCTCATCCCCCTCCCCAAGTGACCATCTCGCCTGGCTGGCCTGTAGCATCCATCGCTCGCACTCCTGCAGGCCAGTTCCTACTGATCCACACTCTCACACTCCATCCACTTCAATCCCCTTTCTCCTTTCCATTCTTTCTCAACCCCTCCTCCCCCACCTTCCAGTGACCATCTCCCCGGGCTGGCCTGTAGCATCCATCACTCGCACCCCTGCAGGCCAGTCCCTCATCTCCTCCTCCAAGCAGACTCCCACACTCATCAACATCTCCCTCTCTCCTCCCCCTCCCCTCTCCTCCCTTACCCCCAGTGACCATCTCCCCGGGCTGGCCTGTAGCATCCATCACTCGCACCCCTGCAGGCCAGTCCCTCATCTCCTCCTCCAAGCAGACTCCCACACTCATCAACATCTCCCTCTCTCCTCCCCCTCCCCTCTCCTCCCTTCCCCCCAGTGACCATCTCCCCGGGCTGGCCTGTATCATCCATCGCTCGCACTTCTGCAAACCAGTTCCTGCTGACCCACGCTCTCACCCTCCATCCCTTGATCCACTCTTTCCGATCCTCCGATTCTCCTCCCACCTTCTCTTCCCTCCCCCAGTGACCATCTCCCCGGGCTGGCCCGTGGCATCCATCGCTCGCACCCCTGCAGGCCAGTTCCTCATCACCTCCTCCAAAAAGGCTCCACCGATTATCAATAGCTCTTCCCCTCCCTCCTCCTCCTCCTCCTCCCCTCTCTCCCTCATGGCTGATTTCGTTCTTATCGGCACCGGTGGGTCAATCAAGGTATTGGACCTTTTTGTTGGGGTGATCTCCGAATGTCATCGGTGTTGTTAATTGATTTCAGCAATTTTCTCGCCCTTTGCAGAGAAAAGTAGATTCGACCCAGATCATCAGACTTAGCTCGTTCTGGTCTCCACAAATCTATGCTTATGTTGTTTATTGATTTCAGCAAGTTTTTCTGCCTTCCTTACGATCCTGCCAACATCCTTTCCTGTGCTCCCCTCATCGATCCTCATTAACCCTCATCACCCCTCATAACTCCTCAACCTCGCCCCATACTCTCCCCTCCTCCTCACCCTTCCTCAACCCTCCTCACCCCTCTTCACCCCTCTTCACTCCTCCTCACCTCTTCCCACCCCTCTCAACCCCAGGGGCATTCCATGGCAGCATCTCTCGGTCACTCCATCATCCCTCCCTGCCCTTCCATCCTTCCTCCCCCAAAAGCATCTCACAGTTTCACCCCATTTCACCCCTTCCCACCCGTCCCCGTCCCCCATCACCCCTTCGCATCTCTCCCCACCCCTCTCTACTACTGCAGGGTCATGACATGGCATCATCCCTTGGTCACTCCATCATCCCTCCCTGCCCGTCTCTCTTCACTTTCAACATCCCTGATTCTGCTCTCACTGCTCTTGCGGGGGTGAGTGAGTGAGTGAGGGAGTGAGTGAGTGGGTGAGTGAGTGAGCGAGTGAGTGAGTGAGTGAGCGATTGAGTGAGTGAGTGAGTGAGTGAGCGAGTGAGTGAGTGAGTGAGCGAGTGAGTGAGTGAGTGAGTGAGTGAGTGAGGTCCCCTTCCTCCACCATTTCCCTTAACTCCTTGCATATGTTTTTCTTTGTCTTTCCATGCCCTCAATCCAGGTGTCTCTTGAAGACGTGTCTCTGAAGCTGCTTGTTCCATCCTCCCCTTCCTCCTCCTCCGCCCTTTCCCCCCTCACCTCTACCACTGCTGCCACCACCACCACCACCACCGCCGCCACCGAGACTGCTGATGCTGCCGCTGCCACTGCTTCTGCTCCTGCCGCCGTTGCCACCACTGCTAAAAACAAGCCCAAGCAGCAAAAGGACAAGGAATCATCCTTCACGCAGCGAGGGCCCCTGCTGTTCACGCATTGGGGAGTGAGCGGCCCAGCCGTGCTGAAACTCTCAGCCTGGGCTGCCAGAAATCTGCACGCTTCTGCCTACACTGGTGGGTGGGTGGGTTGGTGGCTCCGGTGGGGTTACACTGGTGGGTGGTGGGTGGGTTGGTGGCACTGGTGGGGTTACGCTGGTGGGTGGTGGGTGGTGGGTGGGGGCTCCTTTGACCTCTCGCCGTTGCTCTTCACGCACTGGGGAGTGAGTGGCCCGGCTGTGCTGAAACTCTCTGCCTGGGCTGCCAGGAACCTGCATGCTTCTGCCTACACTGGTGGGTGGGCGGATGCACCTTTTAGTGGGCGCATAAGTTTCTTTCCCTTCACCCCAAGTGCGCCTCTGTCCCCTCACCCCGCTCCCCTCATCCCTCCTCTTCACGCACTGGGGACTGAGCGGCCCGGCTGTGTTGAAACTCTCAGCCCTGGCTGCCAGGAACCTGCACGCCTCTGCTTACAACGGTGGGTGGGTGGCACTGGTGGTGGGGTGGGGGGGTTACATTGGTGGATGATGGATGGAGAGTCCTCTCTCCCGTCCCCCTCCTCTTCACGCACTGGGGACTCAGCGGCCCAGCTGTGCTGAAACTCTCTGCCTGGGCTGCCAGGAACCTGCACGCCTCTGCCTACACTGGTGGGTGGGTGCGCTTTTGGTGGCAGTGGTGGGTGCGTGGGCCTCTTTCCCCTTCACCCCCGGTGCGTCTCTCTCCTCCCACCTCTCTTCACGCACTGGGGAGTGAGCGGTCCAGCTCTGCCTAAACTCTCAGCCTGGGCTGCTAGGAACCTGCACGCCTCTGCCTACACTGGTGGGTTGGGGTTGCTGGGCTGGGATGGCTGGGTTGGGATGGCTGGGATGGCTGGCTCAAGAAAGGCTCAGGGGTTTCCTGTATTGGCTACTACTTTATGTAAGCTTTTTGTTCTCTATCTCACCCATGTGTTCCTGCTGTTCTCTCCCTCCCTCCCTTACCCTCTGTCTCCCTCCTTTCCTCCCTCTCTCCCTCTTGCAACCATAGTGGCCAAATTTACCCCTCATCTCTCTGCTGCTGCTCTCCTCTCTGCACTCACAGCTTCACCTCCTCACCTTTGTTCCCTCCCCCTTTCCTCCCTCCCTCCCTCCCTCCCTCCCTCCCTCCCTCCCTCCCTCCCTCCCTCCCTCCCTCCCTCCCTCCCTCCCTCTTTCCCTCCTACCAGCAGCACTAGTGGCTGACTTTACCCCTCATCTCTCCGCTGCTGCTCTCCTCTCTGCACTCACAGCTTCATCTCCTCACCTTTGTTCCCTCCCCCTTTCCTCCCTCCCTCCCTCCCTCCCTCCCTCCCTCTTTCCCTCCTACCAGCAACACTAGTGGCTGACTTTACCCCTCATCTCTCCGCTGCTGCTCTCCTCACTGCACTCACAGCTTCATCTCCTCACCTTTGTTCCCTCCCCCTTTCCTCCCTCCCTCCCTCCCTCCCTCCCTCCCTCCCTCCCTCCCTCCCTCCCTCCCTCTTTACCTCCTACCAGCAACACTAGTGGCTGACTTTACCCCTCATCTCTCCGCTGCTGCTCTCCTCTCTGCACTCACTGCTGCCAAATCATCACTTCAGGTGATTTCCACAAGAATAGGAGACTTCACTCTTCCACCCTCCGTTCCCTTCAACAAACCAATTTTCTTCCCTGCTGGATGTTCTTACCCACACTCACTCGCTCCCTCCAACACTCGCACAAGCCGTTTAACCGCCACTCATTAACTCACGCACTCACTTCCTCACTCACTTACTCGCTCCCTCACTCTCTCACTCACTCACTCACATTCGCCTCTAACGCTCGCAGAAAAAACAAATCGGCACCACTGCCCCAGTGGAGCTGAACCTTCCCAGAAGGTTCTGGTGCTACCTGCTCGAACGTGCTGTGAGTAACAATTTTGCAATCGGCAAGCCCTTTTCCTTGCTTCCTTGTAGGCTCCAGAACGTTTTTCAGAGTTTACTCTGGGCAGACACATGTGTCTAAAAGCGTTATCAGTGACCGCTGCCTTCGCCCTCCCGAATTGACTTTTGAGTCGACTCAAAACTCACCTTGTAGGCTCCACAATTTTTTTAGAGTTCCCTCTGGGCACACGTGTCAAAAGCGTTATCAATGACCGCCACCTTCGCCGTCCCAACCCCAGTCGTCTTTTAGAGGCGTCAGGAGTACTATGTCCCCTTCACCTGCCAAAAATCTTCTGAGACGTCTCAAAACTCTTCTGAGACGTCTGAAAAACCTTCAGAGGCGCCAGGAGTATTATGTCCCCTTCATCTGCCAAAACTCTCCCCCTCGCCCTTCCCTCCTCTCACCCCCCCCTCCCCTCTCCTCCACTTCACCTCCACAGGTCATCCATCCAGAGACCCTCTGGGCCCACGTGTCAAAGGCCCATTTGCTCACCCTTGCTGATGTCATCCACAAAGCTGAGCTGGCAGTGGCGGGGAAGGTGAGGAGAGGAGAACCATGAGTGAATTTTTTTAGGCCCCTCACAATTAGACCTTATTGATGCCCCTGATTGATTGCGTTTGCTCCCCTAAATATTATTTTTTAGTTTTGTTCGATTCATTCCAATTCAGTTTTGTACTGAATCAGTTCGGTTCTGTTCCGTCCAGTTAACATGGTTGTTTTGCTACTGTTTGTGAGCCTAAAAAAATGTTGCTGTTTGATTGAGGAGCTAATCATAATTTCCATCATATGTGTTTTGACAAATTTCTGCCTCTTTTCCTGTCCTTTTCTCTCCTCTCCTCTCCTCTCCTCCACTCTCCCCTCCTCTCCTCTCCCCTCCTCTCCTCTCCCCCTCCTCTCCTCTCCTCTCCTCTCCTCTCCTCTCCTCTCCTCTCCTCTCCTCTCCTCTCCTCTCCTCTCCTCCCCTCTCCTCTCCTCTCCTCCCTTTTCCTGCAGGGTCGATTTAAGGATGAATTTGTGACTGCAGGTGGTGTCCCTCTAAAGGAGGTATTTTTTTCTTCTCCCATTCCCTCCCAGTTCCTGTCTCCCATTCCCGTCTCCCATTCCCCTCTCCCATTCCCCTCTCCCATTCCCCTCTCCCATTCCTATCTCCCACTCCCCTCTCCTCCTCCTTCCTTCCTTCTTCCATGCGTCAATCTCGTTCGTCCGCTCTTCTCCCTCAATCCCATACCGATTCCTTCCCAAAACCCTCTTCTCGCCTTTCCCCTTTGCTTTGAGATCTCTTCCTTCCCTCATTGCGCCCCCTATTACCTTTACCTTTCTGACCCTTGTCGCACCTCAAGACCAATCTCACCACAATTAAGATTTTCCCAACACCTATTCTGCTTTTACTCTAATATTTGCCTCTTTCCCCACTCTCCCCACCTCTTTCTCCGATCTCCCCCGTTGCCTTTGCCATCCCATGTCACACATCAAGGTCAATCTTACAACAATGGAGCGTCATTTCGTTCCCAACCTCTTCTTTGCTTTACTCTCTTTAACCCCCTTTCCCCTTTCCACCACCTGTCTCCCTCATCTCTTCCCGATTGCCTCCCCCATCCCATGTCACACATCAAGGTGAATATTGCAACAATGGAGAGCCGGCTCCTTAGCAACCTCTTTTTTGCAGGAGAGGTGAGTTCCTCAATCGAGTTTTGATACATCCCGAAACTTTGCAATTTCTTCTTTGCAGCCGAGGTGAGTCCCTCAAGCTGACCACGATGGAGAGTCTCTTTTCAACACGTGAGCAACAGAACTGACTTTTGAGTCGACTCAAAAGTCAGCTCGGTATAATGTCACACGGTATCTTTTCTACACGCTTTGCAGCCGAGGTGAGTCCCTCAAGCTGACCACGATGGAGAGTCTCTTTTCAACACGTGAGCAACAGAACTGACTTTTGAGTCGACTCAAAAGTCAGCTCGGTATAATGTCACACGGTATCTTTTCTACACGCTTTGCAGCCGAGGTGAGTCCCTCAAGCTGACCACGATGGAGAGTCTCTTTTCAACACGTGAGCAACAGAACCCTCAAAAGTCACCTCACCCTCCTCAGGGAAACCTCTCTCTCTTCAATTCATGGAGAAATGTTTCGCTCCTGTTGATTCCTCGTTGTGGCACAGATACTGAACGTGGACGGAATCACAGGAGGCTTTAACTTCCAGGTAATGTGCTTGGCATTTGTGTACTCGCCTTAGCATGACATATCTGCATGCATGTGCACACGCCCATTGCACCATACGCGCGACTTTTGAGTCGACTCAAAAGTCACATGGCGTATCTGCATGCATGTGCATACGCCCATTACACCATGCGCGCGCATATATGCACTCACGTTCATGCATAGATGTGCATTCCGCGCCATGCGTGCTTGCATGCATATGCATGTGTACGGATGTGAATGCATTCAAACACATGTGAGCATCTGATTGTCGCATGGTGATGCACTTGAGTGTAGAAGCTTTCAAATGTACCAGCTTTGTCCGAATGGCCTTGCTGTTCTTGCAAGAATACAAATGTCCGCACCGATGAAATTCCGTGCTCTGTCTAATTTTCCAAATACGTTAGGCCCCTTTTTTCCCATTTGCCTTAAAATGTTTCAATCCCCCTTCCAGAATGCGTGGACTGGAGGCTACATTGCAGGAACTGCCATAGCAGCGGCAGCCAACAAATTGCACTCACCTGACATCTAGATATCCAGACCAGATGCCGCAGTGGCTCAAAAGGTCATACTGTACATTATTATGAATTGAATGATCCTGTACCATTATCCTGATGGCTGAGTTTAGTTCATCATTCAATACTGATCTTATAACGGTTTGATGTTTTTAAGGGGGTCATTCGCCAGAGAATAACGCAAGCAGGCCGTGGCAATAGAACACATAACATTTGCAAGGTAAACATTTGTAAACATTCTGCCGTTACAAGCACCAAGAATTGATGTTCTTTGCTTACCTGTTTCATACAATCTTCTGTCTCCATGCTAACATGGAGTCCTTTCCAGTCAATAGCAGTCATTGAGTAAGAATTTTCAGAAGTCTCCAGCCATCCGCGAATTCATTCCAGCGTTGCATCAAAATTATCGCAAAAGCAAGTGTAGTCCGAAACAACTTGGCCCTGTTCGACTGGCGCATCAGGGTTTAGGCTCGGGTACCAGAACAGGTTCGTTGGTGGTGCTTGGGTACCAGGGTTGGTTCGGGTGTGGTGCTCGAACGAGAGGAAGTGGTTTGGGGTTTGTCAAATTGGTTCTATTGGTCTGTCAAGTTTGTCAAACACGGTAGGTGTTCGACTTTTACAGATCGGGCAATTGTGTGGGTCAAGTTAGTCAAACCCGGGGGGTGTTCAACTTGGCGGGCACCTAATTCTGCCCCACACCAGCTGGTGCTGCCCCGCATCAGCTGGTGCGCGCATGGTGCTAGCTCTCCACGGATGCACCATGCGCGCATCAGTGGTGCGTCGGTTTGCCAGGAGAGGAGGGTTCTGGGAACGCACATTCAGTTCCCGAACCTGGGGCCAAAAAGGGTGTTCGGCTGCCATCATGCCCCAGTTCGCTTCGGTGCTCATGCGCCTATCCCAGACCCGAGTCAGCAGATCCCAGACCCGAGTCAACAATTGTCCGCTTCTCTCAGAAGCTTCTAGGGAGCACACTTTGCTGTAGCTGGTACCCGAGCCTGTGCCTGATGCGCCAGCCGAACAACGTTTGGCTCGGCGAAATCCATCCATGTCAGCTTTGGAAGGTCGCAATTTTCGCCCACGAATCAGCTTTAACTTTCCACGCCCACTCCGCCATCTCAAATTCGCCCCTCTCTGCTCTGCACTACGCGCACCATCTGTTCTGTTCTTTTCTTCCCAAGTCTCCCACACCTTCACTTCCCACACCTGTTCTTCCCTACTACCGTGGCTTCCACCCCGCCTTTTCGCCGCCATGGCTTCCCATTCCACCTCAAATGAGCCTTGCTTGTTTGTAACACGAGCCACACGGCGCCTCTCACTCGAACCACAATCTTTGCTTCTAGCGTGTTTCGTAGCGTCTCCAGAATTGCGTTGGCTTCCGTTGTTACCAGCCTCGTTCGTGCAGCCATTATCAGCAATATTGCTAGTACTAGTACGAGACTATCTGTCCAAATGAGTGAGACAACCCCACTAACGAGTGGACCCTCCGAGTTCGCCGAAAGCTCCGACTCCGGTTCCCCCCTCCTCCAACACGCGCAGCCCGCGGAATGCGCGAAATTTTACGAGCAGGCAGAGAATAGTCTGACGGCGCACGACGGAGGCGTCAAGGTCACCGTTTCCGAGCACCTCGCGTCCCACACGGCCGATTTCCCTCTGCTAACGTTAACGTCCAAACTGCAGATAGAGCAGGTCGAAGCTCGCAGAGCCGCGACGCCGCACATCCCTCATCAAAGCCTCGACGATCCAACGGGGGCTGCCTGCTGGAACGATTTCGAGAAATCGTCAGCCATAGTCAATCTCCGCGAACGCCCCATCCGAGACGCGGGATGGCGATTCGTCCTCTACTTGCTGCTCGCCGTATACCTCGTCGTGGGCCTCTTCGCCTTCGTTAACACGCTCTTCAGCCCCTCAATCCCCCTCCTAGAAATCCTATTTTCTCTCTTCCTGTATCCGCTCGTGTTTCTCCTCCTCTTCGCCTTCAGCATCCCCCTCCCCGTGTTGCTCGTCTCACGTCTCCGAAAAGTCTCTGCTCGCGCCCTGAGGACGGCCATACTCCTGGTCGCCGTGATTTGCGCTCTGCGAAGCGCGAGCTCCGCCCTGCGGTTCCTCGCGTTTCCCCCGCCGCGGAACGCGGAAAGCCGCGCGGAAGAGGAAACGCGGGGAACAGGCGGCGAGACGAACCAAGGCGGCGACGGGATGGTCACTATGGCGGGAGGAAATTCCGAGGGGTTAGGAATGGGAGAGCGCGGTTCTGAGGAAGCCGGAGGGCAGAATGATAATCACATTGGAAGGTGGCATCATACTATGATTTTTGAGAATGTTAAAAAGAACCCCTTTTCTAAGGAAGACGGAGGCCGGGTTAATCGTCATGCTGGAAGGTGGCATCATTCCATGATTCTCAATAACAAGGGCCATGATGGAAGGGGCATCAAGGAGGGAGGCATGGTAGTGGAAGGGGTGACCATGGATCCAGCAATGGAGGAGTCAATCCTGAGAATTCTCAACGGTAGCTCTAACAGTAACACAGATGGGGTATCAGTGGAAAGGGGTGTCATGGCAGCAGAGGCTGTTAAAGACGCAGCAGCATCGGATGCTAGCAGCAGCAGCAGCAGCAGCAGCAGCAGCAGCAGCAGCAGAAGCATAAGATTTGACAGCAGCAACAATGGCAAATTTAGCGGTGATAGCAGCAGCGCTGTGGCCGCGAGGGACTCCAAGAGGGGCCTCCTCGAGCTCGCACTGCCTGTGGTCACAACGGTCGCACACGCCAAGGTAACTGTTACCGCGCGCCACGCTGCCGGCCGCTGGGTACGCCGCGCCATCCACGCCGCCCACTGGTTGAACGGCGCTGCCCACGCCGCCCACTGGATGAATGGCGCCGCCCACTCCGTTGCCCACCGTCAACTGCTGCAAGGGCAGCTCGACGATTCAGACCCAGAGGAGCTGCAATTTCGGAAGGCGGCGCTGCTGCTGATAGATGTTTTGAAGCTCGCATACCGTCCTCTCAACTTTTTCATCGAGTTTGTCGTCCTGGGGCTTCTCAGTGTCGCTGCGTTGCTCCTTGTGAAGAGCTGCAGTCATCACCTCCCTCTCGCCGCCTCCGTTGTCGCGCACGCCGCTCATGCAACCATCACCCAGTCCCCGGTCATCCTCTTTATGCCACTCCCTGTTATGCTTGCAGCTTCGTTCCTGGCCCTCCCCTTGCTTTATTGCTTTCGCCTTGATGCAAAGGTCGGACTTTCGGCCTTCCTGGTGCTCACCTTCCTCTTTTTTCTCCAAGTGCTCTCAGCTCTCCTCACTTACTCCACAGCAGCTGTTTTTGCACGACTGTACGTCACGAGCAGCCGCAGCCGCAGCAGCAGCAGCAGCAGCAGCAGCAGCAGCAGCAGTAGTAGCAGCAGTGGGGACGGGCAGGCGGTTGAAGGGGAACAGGGAGTGACGCTGAGAGGCCAACTAGAGCTTTTCAAGTCAGCTCTCCACCTCGCTTGCACCTCATCCCTAGGCACCTGCTGCGCCATTGCCCTCACCAGCACCAGCATGGCCGCGTGCATGTTTATTCTCTCCGCCCTCTCCCTAACTCACTTTGGTCAAGGCGTATCGGGCGGCCTGCTTGTGGCGCTGCTTCTCTGCACTGAGATTTTCATTCAGAACTTTTTACAGTGCATGGTCCTCCCCACCGCCGCCATGAGCGGCCGTGACTTCATCCGCTCGCTGTGTGTCTCTCTCGGCGTCTTCTGGCGCTTTTTGGCACCGATTGTGACAGTCAACGCTGCTGCTCTGGCCCTGCTTGTCATGCTCATGGTTCCTGTGCCCATTATAAATGCAATTACTCTGTTACATGCGGTAAGTACCGGTACTTTGCATTGTTGCATGCTCTGTCCGCCGGAGCATTTTGCCCACGTGTCTCTCTCGATTTTCACGAATTCGAGACGTGTTCTCGTACAATTTTCCCGTCGCCCCTACTTGTGTGCAGGCCCCCTTTGCTTGTTACGCATTCTCCTTTCATCCTGACTACCCATCAGGTATCTTGGTTCTCGTCGTCGCACTCCTTATCTCTTTTGCGATTTCTTTTCTCTCCTATGTAGTACTCTCCTTCGTCCTCACTACAGGGGTCCCCACTACAGTGCTGTGCTTTGCGTGGGACGAAAAGCTTGAGCCAGAAGAGAGATTCGACACTACTGACCTGGTTGGCGGTGGTTCACTCTCCTCGGCTGATCTCAAGGGAAATAAGTTAGTGTAGAAGTGCAAAACATCGTGATTTGCTCGTTTGTTGTGTTCATGTCAAAGACTGAACAGCGTCTCAAATACAATGCCAAGAGAAATACCTGAGTATACACAAAGAAGGAAGTCCCAGCTACGAGCTTCCACAAGGAGGTCTCAGCTACCAGCTGGCACAAGGAGGTCCGAGTTGCCAGCTTGCACGAGGAGCGCTGAGTTAACGGCTTGCATGAGGAGCGCTGAGTTAGCAGGTTGCACAAGGCAAGGACTTCTCAGT